GGCTGTTCCATTCCACCGGTGTYGCCACAATGAACAAACTTATCCAAAATATTTGGCAGTATTTTTTCCTTTGGATGTCTTTTCTGACACAAMTTGGGCTCAAACCTGCAGCATCAGGATTGCAAGGCTGTGTCACCAACACTGTAAAAAATGAAATGTTGGATTTACTTAACCATGTTATGTTACCTAGTTCCACTTAACTGAGTTGAGTAAATTCAAAGCAATGTACCAGTTTTTTTAGCCAAAGAACATGAGTATGTTGCTTTGAATTTACTCAACTCAGTTAAGTGGAACCAGGTAACATAACATGGTTAAGTAAATCCAACATTTCATTTTTAGAGTGAAGGAGCCACAATGGGGTCAAAACATGTTCTATTTCTGCCTATATTATTAAGATAAATTCCTAAAATTTTTTGTAAACAGGTGGATTAAAATGGTTATCTATTCAGATCTACCACACAAACAGTGTATTTGTTTAGAATCTGTGTTTTTGCATCCTCAACTATACTGGGATCTATGTGAGAAAATTTMAATTGTTTTGTTTATTTTGTGGGGTTTCAATTGGCTTGTTCAAGGGATGAATTTAAGAGGGTGTTACTTTTTTGCTCTTGTAAAATTGACTTATCAGAAATGAGGGGAAATGTGTTTTTTGCCTTTTTGATTCTTGGCAAATGTTCACATTTGTGTCACATGTTCWTTGTGTAAGGCCTCTATATTTCTGCACATTGGATTGTGATACATTSACCCCTACACTGTGGAGGATGTTGGTGTTGTCTCTTATTGATGTTTTGGGTTTTTTTTCTTCATAGCTCTCACAATATTWYTGTCATCAACTASTGTTGTTTTCCTTGGCCAACCTGTTGTCTCTTGTTCAGCACACCAGTAGTTTCTTTCTTATTCAGGACATTCCAAATTGTGCCTGCTATGCCCAGTATTTGTCCAATGGCTCTGATTGATTTTCCTTCTTCTTGCAGCTTTGAAATATCTTGCTTTTCTCTCATAGAAAGCTCTTTGGTCTCCATGTTCATTTATCTTCTTGAACAAGAGGTTTAAACCCAGGACAAAAGTAAACTAGTCATGCAGAAATATTTAATGTTTGAACAATCAACCTTAAAGGCATCTCCTCATCCATAAGAAACACATGTCAGTCATTTGTTCCAATACCTTTGCTCACCTAAAAATGCTGCAGTGTGTTACAAATGGTGATGCATCCTAAGTTGTTTAACACGTTTACATGCAAATACTAGGAAATAAAAGCTGACATTCAGAACTCCTGTATCATATTTTGATTTTAATCCCAAATGTCTTCAGTGTATGACAAAAAATAAGATAATTTGACTTGCTGTTTCAATACTTTTGGAGGGGACAGTATGCAGMTGAAACAGGTAGTGYAGTGCATCCCAATTTCTCCACATTATACAAACCTCTACACCTCTTGTAAATCTACATGTGTGCTTAAATCTAATCTTGGTGTCTCTTTTAGTTGCTTGTATTGCTTGTTTAATCCTAATACAATTCAAAGACAATGCATGCAGTATGAGTAAAAACTTTCTGCACTACAGCCTCTCACATAGTAATTGGGCCAATASAGGAAAGTACTTCAAATAGAAATGCAGTGTTTCTAAGTGCGATGACAGGATATAACAACTAGTGAAAATGCTGGCAGGTCAGTTTTGGCACCTCTGGTTAAATAACGCAATTTTGATCAGATTCCAACATATGAAAAGAAACTTGCAGCCATTCAGGGACTTTTTCTACATCAACAAATATGTAAAGAAAAAAAAACAGTATCCACTTTAGAAGGGATCACAAAAAGGCCTAACAAACTACTAGCAACTGCCTTGATTAATGATGCACTCACTGCAGAATTAGTAGATAGTAAAATCAAATGTTCAATRACCATTATACATATCTAACATGGTGTGAAAGTACATTTTTATGAGCATTACATATACAAACACAGTATATAGAATAGTCAAATTTATGAGTTGTTAAGCATGCATAAAGAATGAGCATGTTGGTAGTAATTAGTAATATGGTTAAGGCATTGATAAATGTTAATTTATAGATTATTAATAATGAATCATCCTTAATAATGATGTTTTCAAGGTTAACTAACCACTTATTAATTGAGGCTACATAAAAAAACATAAAAAATAAAACATTTTGTGTAAGTTTTTGATGTGTTACTTTTTTATTTCTCTGAAGAAGTCTCTTCCCTTTATATTGACATGACTGTCCATGGTGGATTTGGCTCATTGCTGGGATGAAAGCTTTACATTCCATATTCTTTCTCATATGAGAAAGTGACATCCCAATCCTCTGATCTTTCCAGTTTAAATTCAGACCATGATGCCTTCCCTCAGACCACAAGGGAAATTAATAAATGATTAAAGTCTAGAGGAGTCAAGGGAAAGAATGGTAAAGAGGGATAATGGTGTGTTGCTGAATGATGCTATCTCACTGCAGTCAGGGTTATGTCTCTATCTACGAGTGTGTACTAGGAAAAAGCCCCGCCTGGAAGCTGGTTTGTTGACAGGAGTCCCAGTTGACAAAAAAAAAAAAAAAAAAACTCAAAGGCTGATTGCAATAAAGAGCTTCCTCAAGTCATATTTAAAATTTAAAATAGCGAAGCAATTTCAATCATTCTTAGGATGTATAATTGAATAAATTTATTGGGGTTGTTTACTACTGATTTATAAAGGCACTACACATCGTATAGTCTTCTATTAGGTGGACAGTAATATATTTCTATAATGTGGTTATCTCTGACTTAATTGATGATTTTATGTGCAGACTGGGTTGTGTGGGGCTCTTGATCAGGGTCTCACAGACTCAGGAGGGTTTTAGTCAGATACATGCCTGATTTAAAAACAACTCATAAGAACAATGATCAAACATTAGTGTGAGGGATGATGTCTGAYATCTTGACTCCATATAGGAGTAGGCTGCCCCTTTAACAAATGTAATGAGGTGGAGTCAGGATGTGAAGAAAGCTGGTACTTGATGGGTGTTTCCTGGTTTTTAGGCACTACTTAGCTGATGCCTGTCAGAGACAGATTAAAACAAAAGCTAATCAGTCCACACAGCTGTATCTGAATGGTTTTGTATGGCTCACTCCAACATTCATGTCATTATTCACTGGTATGAGATCTTAACAGGTAAAGGGTAACAAACATTGCTTATATTTTAACATAAGCTTCAGCATTTTTACCAGATAGCTCTATGTGTTTTTGAGTTATCAAAAAACAGAAAGACTAAGTTAATTCAAATAATCCAAAATTTGCTAGGTTATCCAGTCTGCTAACATTTAGGTAAGATATGTCAATCAAAGCATTACTGATTAAATTGAATAGGAGACATTAGCTATTGTGAATTAAAAAGTAAAGTCTTACAGAAATGATGCTTATACAAAGTGTTTGGAAGTCTCTTTCCAACTAAAATCCTAATTCCAGACCAGCCTCTTCAACACGGTTATAATGAAGACTGGATAAATTTTATTTATTTAATTTTTATTTTTTACTTGGTTCTGAATAGCCTCAATCTATAATCTATCTCCTTTCTAAGACTGTGACTTTCTTTTATATTGCATAGTGAGTCATCTACCAACAAAGCAGATTTAAGTAAATATTAAGAGTGATCAATAAATTTAATTTTGAAAAAAAAAATGTGTTCATCCTTATGTAAAATAATACTTGTTCCTGTAAAAGTGTGGTATTTTTTAAACTGACCGTTTGAGTCTCAAAGGCCTGCTGCACGAGAGGATTTGTATGATCAATGACTTACAGATTTAAGGAATTATCATATTATTATCTTGGCTTTCTCCATCTTTAYTCTTGGAGGGCTGATCTTAGAAAAGTCTTGAGCATGTTTTCACAGGCTTAAATWGATCAATAACATTGTTAATTAATCAGCTCAAACCATTGGTTAGGAAAAGCTTTGTAGAGAATCAAGATAGTGTCCATAAACTYTTACAAGTTGAATAATTGTTAATGTTTAAAGTGCATTTAGCCTAAAAGGTTATGCACTAGTCTGGATGTACAGTATATCTGATAAACATTAAMCAGTATGAAGGTTTGCAGAGACTTTTTACAGGCTTGATCACCGTCATGTAAAAAAATAAATAATTAAAATAAATTGAAGGACTTTTTTTTTCATGGACATTTACAGCTGAAAATGATGACTTGGGCTCACTCGGTTGAAGGAAAAATGCATTGTGACACCACTGACAAGCTGTGCCTCACTTCAAAACACCAATGAGTCCTAAGGGAGAGGTAGATTTTGATGCAAAGGCCAGCACACTTCACAGCTTGGAAAGCCTTTTATCAGTYAGTCTAGCTGACTTTGAGAACAGGCAGGCATTTGTGCACTCTTGGAGACTTGAAACCAACTGGATGTTAACGTTACCTAACATGCTTCGAAGGGACATATACTGCAGACATACCACAGGTTTCCACAAAAGACTAGACATGAGAACAACTTATGTGAGGCAATTTTGAAAACCTTAGATAGTTTTGTTTTATGTTTGTTTGTTTGTTTTTTTTTTTTACCATAAATGCATTGTTTTTTATAAGGAACATGTTGAATACATGTTGCAAACATAAAGCTGTGGTAAATCCTGTTATCACAAAGCAAAATACTGAAGAAAGGTGTTGTGATCATTGTGATACTTGGATAAAAGTATGTTATAGACCTTAGTTATGTCTCAGCATATGTCAGCTTTTAAAATGACAACAAACACAATAAAACAGTTTAAATGGTTTGTTTTCTTCAAGCTACTAGTAGCTACTGGTGTGTCTGAGCTACTGCACGTCTATAATCTGCCGAGTCTACAAACAGTACTTGTTGAATTATTTTAAAGGGRCAATATCATGTAATATCAACTTTTTTTTAAACTTTATATCATGTTGTAGGTAATGTTATCATCTCATCAAAAACTTGCCCAGAGTCTTGCTTTGGCTCGTTCATGCATGTTTTAGAAATCCTGTAGTGTTCCGAAGCAGCCAGGCAGGGGAGCAAAAACGACTGATTGGGACTAGAACTGCCTTTTGGGACCATCTCCTCGTCTGTGCTGTGTCTCAGAACCGAGCTTCCTCATCACAGAGCACACCTCCCCACCCCAYCACTCTGGCAGCAACAACTAGCAAGCACCCGGTGAAAACCATGAGYTCCCAGTACTACTTCTCAGTCCAGCCAAGGTAACTCACATTGTTTTGTTCACATGTTGTTTGGTCCATGTGTTAAGATTTGTAAGTTATTATGATCAGTATGTGTGTGTGTGTTTATGTGTGTGAGTGACAGAAATAACCTTTTCAGCTGTCCTCTCTGTAACCTCTCCAGTTCTTTAGAAAACATAATTTCTGGTTCAACAGAAAGCTTCACATTTATCGAGAGATGCAATTTTCCAAAACCATGCTTGTGTAATGTTGCTGCTTTTTAAAATTATCATTACAACAAAGCATGCTTTGTTATGAATGGGCTTTTTGAGTTTCACAATTTGTCACACACCAGAGAAGATTTAAACAGTTTATTGAAACAGAAGAGCAGACTTGCGTCACGGGAATCCGGAGTCCTCCTAGCGAGCGGCGCTGTCGGGGGAATCCCTTGGATGACGTCACCTGACAGGAAAGGCGAGAGAGCGTCTTAGTCCGTGTAGTAGAACGGAGATGAGTCCAGAGGCGAATGCGTGGGTCAGAACCAGGAGGTCAGAGGCAGCGACGGTGTCAGACGGGGGTGAGGCGAAAGGCGAGGATCCAGGACTACAGCCAGAGCGTGGGTCAGAACCAGGAAGTCAGAGGCAGCGACAGTGTCAGACGGGGGTGAGGCGAAAGGCGAGGATCCAGGACTACAGCCAGAGCGTGGGTCAGAACCAGGAAGTCAGA